GCGTTTATAACGATAAAGAGAAAAACCAAATAATTACTTCTTCAAGTGTTATAACATTTTTAACATTTTGGTGGCCTCTGCATCGCAGAAGTCAGTAATTAATAATCACAAAAAAAGCGTATTCTACTGAGGCAAATTCATGTCTCCTTTTAAACTGAATAACGTGGCTGAGTAGAAAATAATCAGGTGCAATTGGAATAAGTTCTTATCAGCCAAGATTTTGCTGACAATACAAACAAATTCCCAAAAGTTCAAATTTCCAATTTATAATCTCGTCTAGAATGAAAAACGAAAACCTCGTTACAAATAATTAACACCCTTATCAAATTCTTGATTTGGCTTAATGACCAGCTGGAGTTAAAGATAAGTTTCTTCTGTTTTATTCTGCTTGTTGCATCACATAATACCGACATTTGGGGAGTTATCTTGATGGAGTAAACTTCACAAAAAAACCCAATGAATCGCCAAGAAAATCTTATCATCTACATGCTGTTTATGGGGTCTTTGATGTTGCAAAGAATTGTAAGCCAGCATTGTAAAGGCGACATTTACTCTGATTATCAAATGATGCTCAAAGGCCACACGTACAAGACTATTAAAGTTCGACGAGGTTCGCTTGACTGCAGACAAGCCTGCCTCGCTGACACCAGATGCCGAAGCTACAACGTGCTCTTTATCCAACAGATATGTGAGTTAACTAACAGTACCAAAGAAGCCAGCCCAGATGATTTTGTGCAGAATAACGAAAGATATCACATGGCAAAAAGTGGTAAGAATCCATGACTCTTATTGTGAATGGTACGAGAAGAATGAAACAATTGCGGGACTTATATGGCAAATTCAGTGTGCGGGGAGAATGTACATTTTGCAGGATTGCGTAACCTTTCTTCAAATAAATCAGTGCAGAAGTAATGATAACCAGTACATGATGTTTTAAAAATCTTGATTGTTTGCAAAGGCTTGATTCACTCATCAATTCTATATTTTTGGCGTGATTGTTTTGTTAAATTTTTTTGAATGATTTTGAGATCAGTTTGTGATTAATTTTTCTTTGCCATGTAATCGTCGTTTTAATCTGAAATATGATCTTACTGTAGATTTATTCTCACTAAGGGGTAAAATGATATGTGCGGGTGGGGAGACTGGGGAGATTGCCTTAATGTGGTGATTTTGGCGTTTCGGTAGTTAATATGAGATCTTTTAATTAAACTGTTAACAATCAGGCTATAAAAGCTAAACTTAGCGGACAGCAGAAGGGAAACTAATTGCCGAATTATTTTTATTGTATTTCTAGTATTAGAAGATTTCTGCATAAAACATTGATGTCAAAACAATGCCACATGCCTAAACGGAAAAGTGAACTATACGTGTGTGTGCAATTCATCGAGATGGACGGGAACCTACTGTGAAGGTAAAACTCAACTAGGTTAGCATATTAAAGCGCGAGAGAAAGTGTTCTGATTTAGTTTACTTTTATTTATCCGAGTTATTCTGTGCTGTATTACCACGTGTGAATCTTGTACCTTAGATATGGATGAATGCGCCGCAGGGTTTCATAACTGCCACAAAGACGCGATCTGTGAAAACACCGCAGGGTCGTTTAGATGCAAGTGCAAGCCAGGCTTCGACTGCACCCACGAAGGCAAGTAAAAGTAATAGTACCGGTAAGAGCTTACTTAAAAGAACCGCATCTGTGGATAAATAAAAACTACGGAAGAATGGAATCTAAACTCGATAAACAACCACTGTTCGGGAGATTTTGGGCAAAAGGGACTGGACCCTAGAGAGCGGTGAAAAAGTCTCAGACATCTTTTGCTTTTCGCGCCGGTGATTGGCGCTGCTAATCTGGTAACGTGTTTCTTTGTCCCAGAGGTGGTAAGACGAATAAAATCTTTCTTAATAAGCAAAATATTTTTTTTATTAGAATGTCTCCACTATGTGACACTGCAAAACGCTGATAGAAAAGCAACATACGTTGCCTCTCAACAACCGTTCTTGTGTGACTATGACCTCGACGCAATGTGGTATCGTTTCGAAGGAGCAGCGGGAACAAAGATGCCTACCACATGTGTAGGACCCAGCAGCTGTGGTGCTACCAGACCAGGTTGGATGAACGGTGCTCATCCCACTGTTGAAGACGGCAGAGTCAACCGGGAAGTTTGCTTCAGGAGTTGGCACGAATGTTGTAAATATACAAAGTCGAATATGGTGAGAAACTGCGGTTCTTTTTATGTTTACCATCTGGATGGCATAGCGACCAACTGTTCCGAAGCCTACTGCGCTACTGACTGAGTCTTACCTGGGATTTCTGCGGCAACCATCTCTTCTGAAGTGTTCTGCACTTGAGACTGAGCTATATTTGGGTTTCCTGTGGTGCCAACTTTACTGGACTGAACAGCACGACTGTTTATAATTCATGTAATTTAAACCGGGTCTTAATTGCATAGTAATACCCGTCCATGTTTTGTAAGACTTTTCTGAAAAGAAAGTCGTTTAATGATTGCTAAGTTTTTGCAGCTTAGTACAGTGGAACTTCGATGTGATGAAATGCCAAGGGACTGGGGAAATTGGTTCGTTATATCGAAAACCTCGATTTAACGAATTTGCGGAAAAACAATCAAAATGTTCGTTATATCGAGGGATGGTTAATAGTTGTTGTTTTGTGTGTTTTTTTTCTTCTTATGTGGTGCGACGCCGCACTACCCAGCATTTTGTGATCGGAACCATTACTGTAAATGACATTTGTGCTTTTATGTCTATATGAAGCTACAGTACATTGTTTAGGTTTATACATAGTAATAGCTTGATTTTAAAGCACGGAGGACAAAGCTCAGTGGAAGTCACTGGCAAACGGAGAAAGACAGGGAGGATAAAGGGGATCTGTAGATGTATCGATAGTATCAGGGTCGGCATTTAGAATGAGCTGTTAACTGTGAAGTTGTTTTTTTATTTTTACAGAATTGAAGGATTTTGATTCTCGTTGATCTATTACGCATTCGTCTTTTGTCACGTGTTGACCTTTGTTCGTTTTATCGGGGTATATTATACGTTTGGGCTTCTGGATTGTGTTCGTTGTAACGAGGATTTCGTTATATCGAGGTTCGCTATATGGAGGTTCTGTACCATACATTTTATTGTAACTTAAGTAGAACTGAAGAGTATCGTTCGTTAAACCGAGGACTTCGTTATGTAGAGGTTTGTTAAATCGAGGTTCTGCTGTACTATACTGTACTGCGTGTGTGATTCTTAACTTGAAAAATATTTTGACAGTATATAATGCATAGAAGTTTTCCTTGTGTATTCCTTACTTCAGAATAACAAGTTTTATTACAGCGTAGTAAAGTTTTTAAAGTGTGATTTCTTTTATCTTAGAATATCACATTTTTTCACCTCGGAGTACACTGCGATTTTTCTTGACACTCAACTAATGTTGACTTGACTTGTCCAGTTGTTGTTTTCAAATGGTGGGCAAGATTTCTCTGTAGAAACTAGTACTGGCTATAGGGGTCTCCATTCAGAAGACTTTTTACGTAGCAAATACTGAAAAGCACACCTCCTTGATTAAAACAACATCAGACACACTAACAGTATCAATACGCCGTACGTAATTGTGTCGCTTCGATTGACGCTGGACGCTGAACTACACAGCGCTATAAAGATATGTGCAACCAAACGTGTTATATTCAGTTAAAAATATCATCCAGAGATAAAAAATATGGTGGGAAGGGATCAAAAGTCACTGGCGAGAGCCAGCGTCGGAGAAAAGGGGTGAGGGGGAACTGAGGTATGATGAGACACTCAATATCATTACACCTTGAAATTCAAAAATTCTTCCATCAAATAACTACATTTTCTAGAGTTGACTCGTGTCAAAATACAAATTACCAAAAACTCAGGAAGAATGAGATGACTAACTGCATAATGAGATACGTAAATATCGCACAGGTATGTATGCCAGAAAGAAAAGAATGCCATAAATCAGGATAACCAACACCCCACCCCCTGTGGGGCCTGATAAGCGCATAACTATCGTGCGCTGCGTTATAATCCATTCACCCAGTCAATTATATTCCAGAATTAAGTGCAGTGTGCAAAGATCCCATATCAAAAATTTATCTTTCATAAAGTTTATTCCAAAACTTTCACCAAATTTGATGATTCGACCTTTTAATCTGCACACCTATGTGGGCGAAAAGGTACATACAGCACTGATACGGGAACACATGAGTATAAAAGGGATGGGCAGGTCAGTTCGAAGTGAGAGTCACTTTATAATCCTCATCTTACTCATTAAAAGAAATCCTGGCCCTTCAACTGATGGTACATGTGTTCATTAAATAACCTGAGCTTAAGAATCACGTTACAAAAAAGCTCTTACGTAGCAAGACAGCCGTCGATGTGATCATTTATCTCAACATTTTTCACTTCTTTCGCAAACTTTACGCCACAAATCGGACAAAAAATCTCTTTTTTCTTCGTCTTTTCTGCAGGTTTATTTGTCACTTTCCCAAACGACGATAAAATACTTGACTGTCTCTGTCGTTTATTTGACCGTGATGTCGCTTCAGAGTTAGTTCTTTTCACAGACGTCTTAAGTTGTACGTTCTCTTTTGAGCGGGGCGTGGAAATATGGTGCGCAACGTTTGTACTTCTACCAGGATCAGAAGTGGAAGTCCCACTCTCTGAGAAGTCCTCTCCTTTCGACTCCTTTGATACAAAGTAGCCTGATTTTACTTCTTTCATTCTGTTATCAGACATTTCATGTTCATTAGAAGTACTTGAATTCGACAGACACGGACTGTTTGTGATCTCATCCTCAAGAAAATATGCTCTACATTCTCCTTCATGACGACCTTTATCAACACATGTCTCTTCAACAGGTTCTGTTTCGTTTCCTGTGACCTTGGGTTTTTCCTCCAAAGATTTAGGTTTAAAGAAATTTTTAATTGTAACAAGAGGCGTTGTGGCCTTGCTTAAAGTTCTCGGGTTGATTGGAGATTCCGCTTCTTCATACCCTACACAGTTATTTGACGTTTCTTTCGAGGAAGCAGCCACATCTAAGATACCATTTCGTTGTTTTTCCTGGGAGAGGAATATTTGAATATTATCTTACATTTACTATGGACTCATGGAAGTCTACCCCAGGACAATAAAGCGCAGAGCTATGCAGATACTGGTTCATACCCAAAGTTTCCGAGGAGTTTCCGAAGCACTACACTCAGATTCATCTTGCGCAGTTTTCTGATTTGTTATCACCAACGAAAATATCATAGCTTTGATTAAAATTAGCCAACGTCAAAAATCGACATTACAATTATAAATCTTTACAGTTTGACGTCCTGAAGTGATTAACATGTAACTTCTCATTGCGATTCCAATGTTATCCTTTAAACAGGTTATGAGAACAGACATGGTAATCAGCTAATCGGTGTCATCACTAAATTCTCGTTTGTAAATTGAAAGGAAATGTATGGCAGTCAGTTGGGAAATAAACTTACTGGATCTTGGGAGTCAAAGGTTAAAAACAATTTTACTGTGAATTTGAGACACGTCCGGCTCCAATGCAATAACACCTAATGCATAATATGACGAATAAAAACTGTTGGATGAATTAAAATAAAATCTCCTTTTATCATTTGTTTTCTTTTTTCAGTAGTGAAAGAATTAATTTCCTGAATTTCATGGAATATCACAGAAGTTCACTATTTAAAATCTTCATTTGAGCTGGCATAGATTTAGTAGCCGATCAAACGACCATAATACATAATACAATTCCGCAGAATGACAGGCTTAATGTCAGTATCTGACCAACTGCACACCTACCCCTCCCCTAACCCAACATTAACCCTTACTTGTTATCAGTTGACTGTTGTTGGGTTAGGGGAGGGGTAGGTGCGCAGTTGCTAAGATACTGATATAGATTTGAATGAAACGTACCAAAATAGCGTCAACTTGTTTTTGCTCTTTCAGGAACAAAGTCACTTCCGGTATAAGTTGCTCTGGGTAACGTAAACCAACAAGCCGCTGACCACTATCCAGTTCGACGCGGACTACTCTCAAAGAGCGATTGTCCTTGCTGCGAGAGTAAGCATAAAGATAGATAAGTCAAGATAAAGTGTTTCAAAGCTCCTTAGCCTATAACTATTACAAGACCTTATCCAGAATGAGATAAACAAGTCTATATCCAGGAAGAGATAAACAAGTCTATCACATGTACTTACCCAAAAGTACTTCAATAAAATGCAGGGAAAGTCATACATAATCATGAGTCGAGAGGAAAAACATGGGTGAAACATTACACATTAAGCAAAACCAAGACTTAAACCAGGAATCCCACTGAAGTTTTTACCAAAGCACCGAGAAAAAAATATCACATATAGTCGTGCGTCTTTGATTCCTAAAGTGGAAAAATGAACATACAACCAAGCATTTACTGTTTGTAGAGTTTATTCAAAAGTACTTTACTCACGTGAGTCCCAGTTTATCAGCATGTTTTTCCATAGCCATTTCCAAGGCAGACAGTAGTGGAATAATTCCTCCGCATAGCAAATGGATCTCAGTTATGCGACAACCAGCTTTTAAGTCAATAAAATCAAATAAAAAAAAAATAAAATAAAATCAATCAATCAATCCGTGGTTCAACCTTGATGAAGTAGCTAGCCAGAAGAGCTGGGCGAGCAAGTCCCTCAGGATGTAAAAACTCGTGCATTTCCCTCAAAATGTAAATGTGCACGCGTGAAACATTCTGGCATAGGCTATGGTTTATAGTTATCATGGTTCGTTGGACTCACTTTTACAGGACGATCCATTCTTACACCCTAAACCATGGATGCAGTTATTTCTTGTTCTTTCGTGCTGCGATTTCCATCCGGCCTCTGTCAAAGACGAGACAAAAGAAAACTCAGAGCGAAGCAAAGATTTTGTGTTCGCCTGCTGTGCCTGGTTTCAAAGTAAAAAACTGAATGAAAGTAGTTTTCTTTTTTGTTATTCACCTGCATCTTGGAGTGAAATCTTTCTATACTTATGTAACAATTCAGTCTTCTCTTCTTCAAACGGCGACCGGCCTGTGTTTGGTCTGCAATTCAAAACGTAACAATCGTACGATTGAATATCAATTGAAATTATTATTGAAATTATTCAAGAGAATATCAATTGATATTCTCTTGTTTACTGTTTCACAAGTTAATTCAAAATTTCCCGCACATAGCCTCCTTGCTCCACTTCCACTGCAATTTTAGATGAAATATTATCTTTCTTTTCTCCCTCTACAAAAGCCGGCCTGACCGAACGCGGCATCCCTGTTCAGTTATTTATTCAATCACATTTTACGCTCTAAAATCTTTAGTGGATGTAGTCAAATTACGTTCTGTGAAATGATTCATTTGACCGAATTTCGTTGGAAAATGCTTTGATTGTGATTTCCTTAATGAAAGCAATGAAAATGAAATTTTACATCCCACCAGACAAAAGGGAACAGGACAGCGATATCTTCTCTTACGACAATAAAAATGACAACAACAAAAGACTGAGAACAGAACAACAAGGAAGAATTCTTTACACAGAGCCCCTCTTTCATCAGTCTTTTTTTATCTGTTATCATTGCAACCACAAATTCGAATGCTACCGAACCAGAAAATTACTTAAATATTTAATCCCTGTTTACCTTGTAATGTTAAAAAGATGTGTTGAGGACTCCTTTAGAATCGCTAACAAAAACAGCCGCTGTCCTCTTTGTTCGCGTTTAGAGCAGTAAAAGCCATCCAAGTTATTGGAGCCATGCTCTTGAAACAACTTCACGGCCGTGTCCCAGTCTATCCCGCGGTCAACGTTTAGAGTCACGTGCCTTTCGAGAAAAACATACAGAAAGTTTACTAGTTTAACTTTCATGATCTCGATCGCAATTCCCATACTTAACAAGATAACAAGTCACGTCTCTGTTCACCACTTACTTCGTTTCCATGACGCCTTTTCGGAAGTCGGTAAAAACCGGTTGAGGACTGCGAACCATAATGATTGAGGACCCAGATACGTCTGTCACGCCTTCATTATACCTATGTAACGTCACGCAACGTTAACAAAATTATTACTCAGGGTGAAAACGTGACTCAGGCAGCGTCTGCAGTACAGTCCATCCACCCAACGGCGTAAACAAATAAAGTAGATCCATGACTGTCCTGTGGTGCACTAGACCTACATCTTAAAATTTTAACGCAGAGTTTTCGTGAATGATACCGCACATAATAATTTCAAAATAAGAGTGCAAAGCAATTGAAGAGTTGTCTTCTTTCTGCTTTACTTTCCTGCCCCTTGATTGGTTTAGAAAACTTGCACCACCCTCTCCACCAATCAGTGGTAAAATGAAAACTGATCGCGTCTCTATCAGCCAAGTTGTTCCGCGCTTAAGGCTCTGTTCTTGTGTTTTACTTTGAATTCTCATAAGTTTTTCTTAATGTATTTATTTTTTATGTATTTATTGGACCTTGCGATTTTTTTTGGTCTTCATTTTTACGACGCTTAACTGAAATACACTTTATATTCCACTGTATAAGGTGCCAGTTACGTAAGGTTATCCACTGAGTATTACTTTCCATGTGATAACATCAGAGTGCAGAGTGAACATACAAAATACACTTTGACCAAAAACTAAGGAAGAGCACATATACGTACTGTACCTTCCTTCGCGTTTTGAACTTTCAATCGTAGCATGTAGACACTCACAGAAATATGAAAAAATCTGTAAATAAGAGAGTTCAAATATTAAAATAAAAAGATAGGTATTTTAAAATCAGCTTAGGATAAATGCCTGGATTTTTAAGACTTTGGATTATTCAGACTAATTAGTCTTGTCCAAAACTTTCTTTAAGGTTTATAGGCTGTAATACTAACTATTTAAACCTGCTAGAAGTTTATCAAATTCAATATTTCTCATCAGGTTCAGGACATCCCGACCTGGGAGTGAATGACAACAAAGTTCATGTAATGTTTGTGATTTTCTCATTTGATGGTCATTTCAGACATCTTAGAGAAGACTTTTCGATGCCTTTATTCATTCCGGGAGTAAAGAGTTTACATTTAGTTTTGCTGGATGAAAAAATTTAACTTGAGCTTTTGCTGTAAATGCCAACATACATTGGGATGAATCATGAAATTTCACTCTGTCAAAACTTCAGCCGCTTGATAACATTTTTCTGTTTAAAAAGAAAGGCCACTATCTATGCTTACCAAATTCTGTTTTTCAACGCTTAGACCCAAAATACGATTTAAGAATCGTCCAACATCAGTAGCCTCTTTGTCTTTTACAACAAAAGTGGTGTCAGTTAAACCCATGGATATTAGACATTGCTACGACAGGAAAAAAAACAAACACGAAAACACAAGGACAGCGCATGGTTAGAGTGCATTTCCACACAATGACGTAAAAGTAAACGTAAAATAATCACAACGGCCAATAGAAAACAAAAAAGATGTTTAAGAGGATTTAGATTAATAAACACAAATTGACTTTCGCCAGGCCATCTGTCTTTTTCTTCCCGGCTGCCTGCCTCTCCGTTTGTCCATCTATTTCAGTCTGTCTCCGTATTTCCCTACCAAGAGATATCTATCTCCCCATTTGTCTCTCTTTTCTATTTGTCTCCATCTCTATTTCTGTGTGGTCTCTCTTTGTCTGTCTGTCTGTCTGTCTGTGTGTGCGTCTATCTGTGTGTCTGTCTGTTTATCTATCTGTCTGTCTGTCTGTTTGTCTGTCAGTCTGTCTTTGCCTAGAGCTACTCTTCTTTTCATCCCAATCATCCTAATCATCTCCAGAAACAATGCGTGGCTCGATAAACGTACCCTGGCTATCGCGTTGAACTCCGTAAATTCATATTTGTCGGGAAGTTGTGCTCCAGTAAGGAGCTTGGATAAAGCCACTCCTGGACAGATGGATTGCTGAGTAAAGAGTATGTGACAATTAAAACACAATGGTAGTAGCAATAACTAAACTAAAAATATTAATAACATAATTAATAATGATGAAAGTAAAAAATATTTAAAATTCAAAGACAAATAAACCAAACCACAGAACAACAATCAACGCAGCAACTAAAAGGATCAATTTGTTTACAGCAATCTTTCCAGCATACCAAAGTTATAGACTGGTACATGTTCCTGAGAGCAGATCGGCCATAGGTAGTGTCAAAATTAAACTGAGTCAAGTCGGCACCAGTCGCTGCTCGTCTGTCTCCCTTTGTAAGAGCGCCTGACAGAAAAAAAGCTCACACAGTGAGACTCCGCAATTGTCTATTATCGCAGTAGGTTAAAACAAAAAAAGCATTTTTCGACTGACGTTCGCCAGGTCTCCATAATAGTTCGCCAGTGCCCTTTTATACCCACGTGTGATGAAAGGCATTATGGGAGGAAGGTATCTTGCCCGAAAAGAAAAACAACGGTCATCCTCTCCCCCCTCTGGAGGGCTCACACTTGGACCTATCCTTCGGAAATCCAGTGAGCAATCGGTAATCTCCCTCTCCCTCCCTCCCCCTCTCCTTGTAGGAAATACCTAAATTGAAGATTATCTCTCAAAGCAAAAAGTCAGGACCGCTGCTCGCTGTAACACTTTTCTGTTCTTTTATCATACTTTACCAAGTGATTGGAGCCTGCGAGCTACAGCCGCTGCAAATCTTCTCTCGCCGCCCAAGTTGGTAGTAACAAGTTTATAGATTGGTCCGCTGAAAAACATTAAACATACGTCTATCGATTGCCTCACCAGACTTGGTGCCTCTCTGGAGCTAGTTTCATGTGAAGTAACGAAAAATATCGCAATGAAAAAATATATCTAAGAATTTACTCTCACCCGCGTTGTCAGATTTCCAAGAGTTATCTAGCAGTTGCAACATTGTTGGTAAATGCGCTAAAAAGCAACTATAGACGTTGCTATTTTAAAGCCCCCTTAGTAACCTAGCCGTACATGCAAAATTAAACTTTGCCACCCGGCTTTTGGAAGGGCAATTTTACAATACCTTGATTGGTTCGACCGATGTGACCTGCCTAGCTGCTGCACGGCTTTATCCGCGCTCCAAGGCAGCTCAATGGTCACATGAACACGGCGACGCTGATTGGCAGCTCGGAGATCGGCATGCAACGAGATACCTGTATACGAAGATTTAACGAAGACACTGAGAATTCTTTACATTGGTTGAAAGATCACTTTCACAATAGCGCCAATTAACTACAACTTGCAGAATTCATTTATTTCTCACTTTCATATCATATTTGGTAACCTCAAAGAAGTTTAAAGAAAAACATCTCAAATTTCCTTAAAAAAAAAAAAGAGTAAGTTTGCTTTCTCGCTAATTTCATTTACCTAAGAATTTCCCCAATTTCATAATTTTTCGCTGACATTCACTCCTGGACATACCTTAATTGATGGGGGACAAGCTTAAAATATCAACTCTTCTTACCTGTGCTGGCTGCATCTGATATGATGGCCACAAGTTTGGTTCCATTCATGAAGCTGTTTCTCTAATATATAAAAATAAAATAAAGGTATAAACTTACACTTCTGTCGAGGGTGTTACAAGAAAGGCGAATAGACCACTAGAGTCCGGTGATCTTCTGAAACTTTCGTTCTCATTTGGATGATAACCCTATATTGTTATTGTTGAAAAGACTGAAAAATGTAACCTTAGAAACGAACAAAATGACTGTTAGTTGCGTAGCGAGGAGACGAGATGATTATTTCCCGAGCGTATTTATATTGTATTAAGGACTTCAAGAAGAGTTCATTTATACTCGAGTTAGTGCTAAATTTCTTCCGATCCGGTGAAGTATTGTGAGCAGCGAGACCGTAGTAAATAAAAAAACGTTGTGATAGACTGCCTTCCGACGGCTGTTCCTTTTTTTTTGGTATTTCGTCCAACCAGTTATTAATCATTCTAATCATCAATATCATCATCTAGCAGCATTATCGTTATTGCAATTCACCTCAGGAAGCAATCATGACGTTTTGGTCAATGGGAAGCTGGGATTGGCTGCTCTCTTACCTCTTGGATATTCAAACTGTCCACGTTACTATTGTCCGACTCTCGAGCCTCGTAATGAGGATGAGGTTGTTTCTCTGTTTTTACCACGCGACCGCGCCTGCCCGTCATTTCTGCGACCTTCTTTGGTCCTCCTAATTGATTTATGAGATCATCTAGAGGACTGGGATAAGAAGGAAATTGTTTGGACGCGTTCACACAATGTAATTAACCTTGAAGTAGGAGAAGCTGGCTTTTCAGGGTTAAAAAGAGACTGGTAAAATTACCCAACATCTTCTTAACCCTTTGCACCCTAATATCAGTATAAATATTCTCCATACTCTTTCCCATACATTTGCTACCCTACGGATGAGGAGAATTCCTTTCACAATCAAGCTTCTTACAAAAGGTTTCTAAGGTCGACGATCATTTCCCTAATTCTCCTGATCAAAATGAATAATTTAACAGTATCACAGAAAGGGGAAAGTAGATCCTGGTCACCATAAGGGTTTTAAGGGTTAATTGAATCAGTGTTGAAAAAAAGGGGAAACATGGCCAGCAAAAATAAAGACAAGATGTCAGTATACAATGAAAGCAAACCGTAACGAAAGATGAAATCGTTATGTCCCGAGAGTGGGACATTGAAAACAATCTGAATCCCCAACAAGGAATCGAACCCTTAACCGTCAGATTTCGAGTTTCTATGCTTTTTCGTTGAGTTCCGGAGGCCTCGATGGTAAGCCGAACTATTACGAGGTTCCTATGAGACAAGCGTCTTCAGTGGAAACGGCTAGCATACAAACCTTATTGGAAGATTAATTTTCTTGACAAAAGAGAGTAACAGATCCTTGGCTTGCACACTCCACTTGTCTTCCACAACATTCCCATTCTAAATGAGGCAATAATTCGTATGACAAGAGGCCACTGAAGAAGATGTCGTAATTGAACGGCGTTCCATTTTACGCATCTTCAAAAACTCAGTCAAAATTTTTTCAATTTTGCCTTTCAGGTCCCTCCTTCCGGAAGAAGAACAAACAAACAAGCCAACCCAACACCCCAAACTACAATTCGAGCCGGCAAAAAGCGGATGGAGATCTACACATAGATGTGTAACTGGTAAGATCCAATTTATTAATTTAATTTAACACATTTAATCTTAGAAAGAAAAAAATTAATAAATAAATAATTAAGGGTAGGTGTCGATCTCTGGTCTCAAAAACACTCAGAGGTTTGGTGTTAAACTGCTATCTCCCTACAAGATAAATGGAATGGTGAGGAATTTCAATTTATAGCTTCAAGTTACAGTAGAGATTAACTCACCGTTTTTGTAACCTTTGTTGGAAAATATTGCATGATAAACCTGGTCAAGATTTCTTCCGTACTGGAAATAAAGTTATTAAGCACGCCACCACCACGTGATATTTCACTCTCTAAACTTGCCTAAAGTACAAAATAAAAAGCAAAAATGAGACGAAACAGTCAGGGAAGCCTCAATTTCATTGAAAAATATAGAAGTTCTGGAACACAATAGGAGGTGATCGCATTATTACAGTACTCCCGCACTGCATTTTTTTTCTTGCAAATAAAACGTTGAGGTAAGTTTGTAAGGGCTACGTTTAGTACAAAGCAAAGTAATCAACAAAACCAGTACTTGAGGGGTTTTCGGTTGAGCGCCGCGAAACCAAACCATAGTCATTAAAACGGCCACTTAGAGCAAAAGAAAATATTACAGCGGCGTTAGGAACTCAAAGTCAATACAAGCACACGACCTGAAGCGCGGGAAAATGCAAGTGACCAAGTCGCAATTGGTTTTATTTTAGCGTCTGATTGGTTGGGAGAGTGGCGCGAGGTATTTAGACCAATCACAGAGCGTAGTAAAGCAAGTCAATGCAATCTCGGATAACTTGCGACATTCATTTGAAAATTCTCCAATAATAAACACGTAATATAACTCAGAAATCATACAGACCTCGCCAGTTGTCTGTAGACCAATCACGACACAATAGCCATCCTGTATCGCTTGCTGAACTTCCCGCACAATCTGAGGAACTTTCATACTCATGCTGTGTAAAATGTAAAATAAAAACAATAACAACGGAAACGAAGCTAGTCCAGCATAAAACTAGAATATTTTTAGTTACAAGTGTCAGGAAATAGTACCGTTGGTTTTCGTTTTTCCTTGGACACGGCTACAAAAACATATCGACCTTTAATGCAAGCTTCCCCTCTACCGAACACAAAAGACTATACAATAAAGTGTTTACTTTATCGCACCGCGGGGTCATTCACAATCCACAAAAAAGCGCTTTTTCGTGGCATACACTCGACTAACAGTTTTCATAAAAAGGCGGGACCCAGGTGCTAATACCGCGATACACGAAATTCAGTATCCGCCTACCATCACATGGGACAAAGAGGAGTTTACTTTCCATTTTTCTCGGATAGTTACCTGTGGGTGCCCTCCTCCTCAAATTCTAAGTGAAAAAAGTAACTAACCCAGGATGCGGTGAAAAGCCCAAGAGTGCCTACAGCATGTAGTTACCCGAAAATAATTTCAAAATTTTTTACCAGAGTTGTTTGTAGAACCGCTGATGACTTGACCAAAATATGGACCACACCCTTGGAGTTGCAGTGTTAGTTCGACCCAGGGCGTATTCCAGTGAATTCTTCAACTCATTCCTTGAATTAAAAAGAAACATAAGAAAAAAAACAGCAAATTACGCATACAGATCTGCGCATAAAAGCACACTAATGGATAAAGTAAGGACGCGCGCTCATTTATGCCACAATGATCGAAGAGAACTGCGTTTGCAGACCCATTGAAAAGGTGTTTCTTCCCTAAGCAGTTTTTCTCCCAAAATTTTATATTCATAGTCCCCATCTATGACTTTTAAAATAATTAGGAAAGCATTGCATAAAAAAAAAAAAAACTTTAAAAAAATGGTAAAATCTAAGAAGGATAAGCGAGCTTCCTGACGCAGGGATCTGGGTCCAAACATGACGAGTAGCAGAGCCCTAGGATTTCTTTTCCTCATCTGGATCTACATGTATGTTATGCAATCTTTGCATCAAGAATAAAAATTTTAATTGATCACTACTCACCACACATGAACTGCTGTGTCATAGACCTTAACCTGGTCTGGTGTTAATGGTGCCTCTACGTTTACAAACTGAAAATAAATAGGAAATTAAAAGCAAGTCATATCAGTTAATGAGAAAATAATTTTTTTTTTTAATTTTTATAAGTCTTTATACATATAAAAAATAAAGCTGCATAGATGATTTGTGAAAGGGAGTTCATGACGTCAAAAATTGAGCAGATTTCAGATAGTTTAGGATCACTCGCTCCATAATACATACAACAGCAAGCAACTTAAGGTTGTTTCATAATTAGGGCTTTGCCAAATTTTGCACTAAAATAAACATCACTAAATAAAAATCAAACTTTTCATTTGCTGCTTCTTTCTTCTTAGTGCAGTAAGTGTAAATATCAAGGTATACCTCAGCTTGTCTGAAACTAAGACCTCTTGACACATACATTCCAGAAGCCTTCATTTCCATGGCTAACATTTCCGCAGCACCTAAAGTAAAACGTCGGCACTATCAGGAAATGACAGTTTACAAATACAAACTAACTGTCAGTTTATTGCATCAATCCCAGAGGCATATATATGTAAGCAATGGCAAATTGTTATAGCAAACTGAAAAATTTAGAAAATTTTTACCCAATCCCCTCTTGGTTATGCTGCCAAGGAAAGTATCAAAGGACTTAAATGCAGTTCCATCTCCCCAAAGGCCAAGTCGCTCCATAAATGCCTGAAAAAAAAAATTATACCTCTTCATCAATTTTTTCGTTATCAACCCTGATGAACCATCCTTCCCTCTTTTGCTATGTTTAACCCCATACTCCTCCCCTTCCATACAATCATCTTACCTACCCTACCCCACTCTCTAATTCTTTTTTCTCAGCACCAGACCCTCCCCTGGCATTCAAGTCTGTAACCAACCCCAGCTAGCTTAATAATTCTTGCAATGCACATCTGCATCATGTTGGTAGTTTATTGCAAAGTTAACTACAAAACCCAAGTATGCATAAATAGTACATACCATATTCTTAACATCTGTGACTCCAGTTGCACTGCAGTACACAACACGAGCTTTTGGAAGGATCCTGTAAACACATTGAATCATGAAATCATAATTTCTAGAGTCTACATGTAGCCTAAAGGATGACATGTATGATTAAGAACATTCACACAGAACTCAAGGAGAAAACAGCATATTCTATGTTCCTACTTAAAAAAAACTGTGATCAATATGATCAACCATGGAATTATATAATTGTAGTACTCAGTAATATGCCAAAAACCCTTTTATTAAACAAATTTTTTGGATTCTAAAGTTGCAACATCTACCTCCATATGAAAGATACAATTCAATTTTTCTTCATTTGAATACCTTTGTAAAGTAGTGACAGCCAGAGCTATTTTTGTGCTATTTTCTTCCTTTCCCTATAAGAAAAGAAAAAACAGGTGCACTAACTTGCCAATAATCATCCATTTGACCGATACAATCAAAATGGCTCTTAGAGAGCAAATGAGAAAGAAATGCTGTTGGTAAACAGGTGTGTCACACTGCATGACCACCTTAAATATGCATATGTGTAGATGGTGCAAATTACCTGTATCCTGTCCTAAAGCCACTGATAAATAAAAAAGAAATATTTGAAAAAAAAAAAAGGCAAGATCAAAGATCACCAGGTCAACATTTATCCTATACAAATCACTTACTGGTACAAAATGCTTTGCCTTGTGGCATTCATCAAATATGAGGCATCCACTAAAATGTTCTCCACCACACCAGTCAATCAACTGCTGTAGTCTGCTCTGACGATTGGTACCTGAGGAAATATGACAAACAATTTTCCCTGAATTGATACAATCATGTACAGCATTTGTAATTACAACCATCAGGTGTGATATTGTAAAGAGAATCTAGATGCTAATCACTGCTGGGGTGAAAGGGTTGATGACTTACAGATCTGCTTCTCACAACACTATGATAAAAATACCTTTCTGGACAGATGATACCAATGTGGCATAGGTACTAAAAACTACACCTTCTTTAAAATCAGCAGGCAAACCAAATACTCTGAAATATGTCAATATAATACCATGTATAAGAAATTATTTTTCCACAATTTCGTCAAACTCAACAAAACAAAAACTTGATGATCACAATGTAATATAATCAAAATTAAAGAGAGGAATTTCTACTTAGCACCAGCAGCTTCACATTTTTATTGCTGCCAGAGATGTTAATCACCTTGTCTCTTTGTCGAGCTGTTGACAACCATCAATAACTTTAACATAGCAACCAATGTCTTCTAAATCTCTGTAAAACAAGAGAGCAGAGTATTCTACAATACCTATTTAATATCATAATTTTGAACAGAAGGGACTGGACACTAAACACAGGGGTCCAACAAAAGCCAATTACTGGTGTTCTAACCCTGCCATGGTAAGGGGGGCAAAGCTGCCTATCACATCATCAGTGGCTGCTTATTGAAAACATTATTGCAACCCCTGTATACACGTATATGAATAAAGAATCAAGAATGTTCCAGACAACTTTATTAGTAAACAAATATATTTTTTTTATCACTGTTTTAAAACATCCACCAAAGAAATTAAAATATCCGATTGAGATCACTACAAGGGTAAATATTCCAGGAGGGGCCAAAAAAATGGCCTTGAGCTTAGATAAACACCAAACACCATCAACCCTTTCACTCCCAAGATCTGATTGTTAATTCTCCCCTCTTGCTACAACACAATACCTTGTTAATTAGTTATGAGAATTTGTTGTCAGATCAAGATAACATCTTCTGTCTGATTAGTTAGTGTATTCTTAGTACCTGATTGTTGGATTATGTATGGATACTTTTGGGAGAAGTTACATGTTAATCACTTCTGGGAATTAAAGGGTTAATCAACTTCCTTGAGTGACCATGACAAAATTTTTGACGACAAACCTTTGTGCATCTAATCTCAGATCAGTTGAGATGCTAAACCACATATGTTTGCATCTTCCACGTGCAAAGTTGTCCAACAAAATTCCAGAGATCTAGGACAGTAATAAGCTTCAACAACTTTGATAATCAACATAATTTTCTAAAAAAAAACTGACCAGAAGCCTAGAGAAAAGATGAAATGTTCCAAACATGTAGTGAGAAATGTTATATTTGATACTTGTTCTACACGTGAAGTCATGCAAATTTTTTATACTTCACATGGCAAAATGGGGTTAAAGGCTGGGGAAGGTGGTTCAATTTAGACATACCAAAGCAAATGATTACCTGTCTTCCTTTGCCAACACCAGCACCATCTCCGATAAAGAAGCCTGCCCTTTGTCCATTGGCAAGGATCATCTGATGTCTCTGACACTAAATACCAGTAAGAGCAATAAACAATACATTTTATCAGCACGGAAAAAGGGAAAAGTTGTTCAATGCAACAGAGGAAGAAACACACAGGAAACACAGCTTTTGTCAAAGTTTTTCCCAGCTTCAAAACAAAAAGCCTTCCAAGCCCTATTTTGATTTCTGGAACATGGCACCTATTCAAATTCTTCAGCTGCTGAGCAAACCCACCTGCTAAATTTCTGTAGTCTACGCTATTTTTTATTAACAGAATATTTTCCTCACACTTTACCCTCCTATAATTGTTAATAGAAACCCTCTGTCTGATTCTGTAAATCTATGTTACTATTATATTCACTACATAACTGAAAAAAAACCTGGAAGAAATGAACATTTCTGTCTTCAGCTGTGATAGAGAAACAGTAATTTTTAAGTATACAATCCAAACATAAAATTACACTTCATGTCACAGATATACTTACAGCATATAAAACACCCTCTAGCTGTAAATCACTCAGTTTACCTAGAAAAAGTTAAATGTAAATAATTGTAATAATCATCTGTTTTCAAATAATGTCTCATACAAAAAAGAAATTGAAATCAAAAGACAGTACCAGTTTTTATCAAATCTTGTGGGAGTGACTCAAACAATCTATACTTGGCCTTTGGTAGCTGCTGAGCCTGATAGGTAGAAGACATTTGAGTGTAAGAATGTTAACCAACGCTAAGCAAAATAATTGTGGTTCCTCAAATAAAGTGACAAATTAAGGTGCTGGAAATACAAATTGAGGTTTAATTTCCACACCCTAAAAAAACCACAACAACAACCAAAAGGAGTGCAACAACTGACAGACTGAGCCAATGCAGACCTATTTCTTGTTAAAAATAAACTACTTTGAGTTATTTTGCTAACTTAAGATGGAAAAACACACTTACTGCCAGACAACCAGCTTCTACTATATCTCCTGGATGATTTTGAATATCCTCATGATACAATGAACCACATGTATAGCTAGAGAAGACATCTGCACTGTAAATGACAAATATGCATGGGGGTGAAAATTAAGAAATTGCAAGAAAATGATGTCAACCCTTGAACTCCCCGGAGTTAAAACTAGTAACTTGTATGAATTTAAGAGATCCTTGCAGTTAAGAACACTGCTGAACTAGTAGTTGAAAATAGGACCCGCAGTGCAAATATATGAATTTCATATATCTAAAATCATTATTCATCACTTGGATGGTTTATTTGGACCCAACATATTGACCAGCTCCCAGTTGGCTTGTTAGCTTAGTTGGTAGAGTGCTGCACGGTATCGCAGCGGTCATGGGTTCAAATCCTGTACAGGCCTGAATTTTTTCAGGTCCTATTTTCAACTACTAGTTCAGTAGTGTTCTTAACCGTGAGGATCTCTTAAATTTGTTTCTTCGCTGCAGTGCAAATATTTGAATTTCATATATCTAAAATCATTAAGTAACTTCTACTCGTAATATCAATATCTGATCTAGCATGTAGGTTGGCAAGCAAGAGTGTGTAATCTTAATATAACACCAAAGTCTTCTTTTCTAATTTACAAGGAAGAACTACCAATGGCATCTTAGGAGTTAAAGGGTTAATTGTAGCAATCTGAAATTTTAGTAAAATTATATCACGCAGTTAAAAAACTAATATTTTATCTAAATGCTATTTCAAGTTACAACAATGATATTTAATTGAGTTGTATCCTCGTGTACCGGTACACAAAGGAACGAAACATTAACAAACTGCATCACAACTCCATGTATGGATATGAAAACAATAGGAATTCCCCCGTGTACCGGTACACCAGGACAGCCCCTTTAATCATGACCTCATCCTATGTACTCACACTCAAACATGTCAGTACAACTTATGTCGCAGGAGAACATGATAGGTGCCTAATACAACTAGGTTGACATAGCATATCCAGGATTACATAGCATATACACAACATATCCAGGATTAAACTGTGAGATCTTTCAAGATTCTGAAATCGTTCCACGTTTCATTACCATAAACTGGAAACATAAAAGCATACATTCGA